ACACACACACACACACACACACACACACACACACACACACACACTCCAAACAAGACACTAAGAAGAAAGGCTAGAAAACTGGGATAAAAACATGCTTTAATCCCTTATCCCTCAGAGTAAAAAACAAAAGCCTTACAATGACCAAAGCCCTTAACTTCTATTGGCACATTCCTGCCCCAGGGCCCTTGTACAGGCTATGGTTTCTGTCTGGAAATCTCCTTCCCAAGACATCCTCACCTCCTCTAAGTCATTGTTCAAAGATCACCTTCTCAAGGAGGCCGCCCCCATAATTCTAAAATTGCAATCCACAAATACACACTTCCTGACCTTCCTTCCCCCATGGAATCATTCCTTTTAACATATCATATATTTTACTTTTAAATTGCCATATATTATGTTTATAATTAATTGTCTTTTCACAATATAAAGTAAGCTTTATATTGAATCTCTGTTTTGTTCACTGATGTATCCCGAAGTTCTAGAATGGGGCAGGCACATAACAGGTATGTAATATTAATAAATTGAATCAGATTGGATTGAATTCTCCCAACAGCTCACTATGTCCCAGACTCTCCTTCCCCACAGACCATTTCCATAATTCTGTTGACCCCACCAGTTTTTCATCCCTCACACACACACACATGCCATATATACAATCACACACCACACACTCACACATCCCATACCAAATACACAAACCTTACACCACACATACACAATCACACATACCACACCTCCCATATCCACACACTGACACTGTCATTTCAGGTTTTCAGGCCTCATCTCCCAGCCAGGAACAGATCCAGGCTGCAGCGGGCATCACTGAGCCCCAGGCACTAGACCACCTCGGGTTGGTGTTTCACAAAGCTGCAGCAGGAGCTTTGCAGATGCTCAGGCAAGCAAGCGAGAAGAGACAGGTTTGTTTAAAGAAATAACTTTATTGAGGAGAAAAGCAACAGAAATAAAGTGGGACTCCCAGGCTGGTGAAACCAGGTCAGGGCTGGACAAGGAGCCTAAGTGGAGCGGTGCCTCAGGGAATATGCACCTTCTTCCCTCAGGATTCTAAAGCCCCACCATTGTCTCTGGGCTTGGTTAGAGCTCGGTGGTCTCACTCACTGCCCTAATGTCTCTGTGCCCAGAGCTAAGTCTCTGTGTTCCCCTTAATTTAGCATACTTTTCTTTATCATCCTTGTTCCAGAATGTCCTGTTGCCCCTAGTTCTGGGGGCGTTTTATTAGTCCTTTTTGGAATTTGTTGCCTGTATCTCTGGAGCCTCCCTTAACTCTCCTGAAGTCCCTGCCTAGGTGCACTGCCCTTGAAGCTGCTGAATTATCCAGGACCTGCCGTAGGACTCAACACCATACACACACCACTCACATGCCACAGCTATACACCAATATACACATGCACATATCCCATATACATACCACATACACACACATCACACACTGTACACACATATCACATATACACCATAGCCAACACAATGCACTATACCCCATCACACTCTATACACATGTCATACAACCACACACACACACACACACACACAAACCAGTACCAGGCATCCACCCTCCCAGCCCTCACCTCTCAATTCTTCTGGGCTTCCAAGGAGAGGAAATCTTGTCTCCAGAAATGAGACCCTATCAAGGAAGCTAGATATACACATGTAGCCAAACAAATCCTATTATTTTTTCCTTTTACTGAGGTGGGAATATATTTATTATCTTTGCTATTTGCAAAAATAACAATAAAAAGATTCCTAACCCAGCCATACTGGCTATTAGTTGTAAACAGGAATAGCACATGGTGTGGCATGAAGCACTCCAGGCCTGAGTGGGGATGCGGGCAAAAGAGGTTGTGTAAGAAGGGTCAGGCAGCCCCTGCACTTTTACTATCTTCCTGCGGGTCTGAGCTTATCTCCCTTTTCTTTCTCTATCCAGAATAGTCAGACCCACCTGGGGAGGTTTCTCGCCTGTGTAGTAGGAAGACACTTCCCATACTAGGCAAAGAATGTTCTAACACTCCTGAGAGAGATTGCATTGGCCCACTGCTCAAAGCAACCACAAAGATGAAAATCATGACTTTTCAGATCTATACAAATCACCACCACTTTACTTACTTTACTCATTCCAAAAATAATAACAATAATAATAAGATCTGAAAACCATACCACGAGCTATACATGAGAATTTTTTCTGCACCAGTGTATTTTATTGTATAATTGTTTTCACAAAATACTGAAGGTTTTGATGTAATTATGCACTTCCCCAGCACCCCACAAAGCATAGATTTTTTATTTTTCTATATTTCAAAAGTACTATATTGTTTCAAGTATTTTTCTGCCCTCTTCTCTTACCATTGCCCTATAACCATTTTTCTTGTTGCTACATGGCCTTTGTGGCTATACCTTTCCTGGAATGTAATGTTGCGTCAACTAGATTTTGTCATTCTGCTAACAGCTGTAGGAGTCTCCAAGGAAACACTCCATCCTCAACCACTCCATGTGGTCCAGTGGGGTGAATAGTCACTACAGCCTCTTCCAGGCTACCCAGCCCAGGTG